AAGTAAAGCTTTTATTAAAACATATAATTTAAAGAATTTCAATACATGGCCATAAAGTGGATGCATATAATTAGTGAAATGTAATCTAAACAAGTTAGTTTCTACATGTGTATATGTTAATCATTGGTCGACATTCATATCAATACAATTTACTTGTATTAATCGTATGTTTAGTCATATATTTCTTTCAATTAATGGCAAAATGAGTCTAAAAATAGTTGATTATACAGTGTATGCAAAATGAATGATGAAATAAAAAGCAATCATTAATATCATGATAGTTTGGATAGACATCAATTCATCTCATATTACATCTCATATCACTTTGAAAGTGTAATTCAAGTGAATTGAATGGTATGAGTGGTGAGGAGTAGTTGTGGTCATCACCGGTAATAAGTGGTCACAACTCATATGCAGTATTGAATCAACAGTAGGTGTAGTGTAGAGGAGATGGCAGTGAAGTGTGAATCCAGTGATTAACACAAACTGTAAACCGATTCACACTTTCACTCACTTTCACCACAAAAACACATTTCATTACAAAAGCATTGAAAACATTGAAAGCATTTCAAAATGACTTCAAAATTAGATTTTGATTTAATCGACTTCTCAGACCATCTGATCCAAGAGTCACCACAAGAACCCATCGAACAGGGCTTCAGATATCCCAAAACGAGTCACAACTTCAAGATTAACAGACAATCCAACGAAGAGGCCATTTGTGAACCAAAGGAAGACAATCACGCGATGGATACGTCAGAAGATAAGAGTTTGGTCCGCGAAGACATGGTATATGACAGGAATGGTTATCCCGTATATCCGGATCCGTTGGAAGTGGTGATGAAGAATTACCCCAATCTGTGTCTTATGACTCGACTCCGACCCCCGAAGACTCCCAATCCTATGGACATTCCCAGCACTCCATTGCTATACGCGTCCGGATATCGTCTAAGAAGACCCAAACCTCTGGAACCACTCGTCGACGACTTACTTCTCAAATAGATTTCTCATTTAATTGTCTCTTTCTTTCCTTTTAATTTTGATTATAATTACAATTACTTTAAATGATCGCTACTTTCAAGAGAATTGTTTTATTGTATTGATTGCAATGATTAGTGCATTGCTTTGATTGCCATCAATACAGGGATTAACTAAAACTATTGAATAGTTATCTAACAAATCAATATTTTTTATAAGGTTTCATAGAAATTAAATATTTATTGTATTAATAATGTTATAATAAGGACTTCGGAGGGTTTTATTGATTTTTTATATGGTTCTCAATTTTGGTGGTGTTTTTTAAGATAAATGGATGTATTAATTAGTGCCAAAATGTGTACCTTGCACAATTTGAATTGTTTTCTTATCACTCTTTAGTCCTTATTTTGTTTATAAAAACCTAATTGAATAAAAAATTGATTATAAATTGAGTGAATGTAGTATTTTATGTAATGATATATTGATGGCCACAAACATTGGCTTAATTTAATGGATCGTCAAATACTTTGCAATTTATTTCCTCAACTTATTTATGTATTTATAATATTTGGTGTAAATTATTTGACAGACACTTAAGGAAAATTAATTACACATTAAGTATTGATTAAAATACAGAATAATTTTATTTAGATTTTTTGTTTGTTGTGTAGTGTATACTATGCTATGTTCAAAATGCTGGCCTTACTTAAGATTGTTAGATATTGCTAACAAAATTGTTCATTGATTGCTACAATGTTTCAATACATGCCGATTGACCAAATTGTTAATTGTCCTCGTTATTGATCCGTCGAATACAAACCCTTCAACAAAACCCATTCAAAGCTCACTTCAATGCAAACGGTTTTAAAATATTTTTTATCACAACAATAATATAATTTCTTACTGTAATCCATACAACTAACCATCATAAAAATTAAATCAAATAAAATTATTCGTGAACATAAATTGGATAAAATTCAATACAAAATTAATTAACAAGTGATAGTCATTTTGAATTATTCATATACTTTATATGTATACAATATGAAATATATTAAATTTTCAAAATGTTAAAAACAGTAATAATATTACTAATAATACTCTTTGTCTCAATGTTTTAAATAATTATAATTCAATTGTTGATTACATTCCGATCAAAACTAATCACATCAACAATTAAACCAAACAATAATATATCCATAAAGACTGGTGTAAATAAAAAGAGTTACAGTTATTGACATACGTTTTAGTTAATTTTAGCATATTGATACATTATGCAATTAAGTTATACTGTACTATAATAGTTTAGTATTTAAATCCCATAATCCTTTAGTTTCATTAAATCACTAATGCCGTTCATTCAGTGATCAACTATCTCGTAGATAAGTTACTAGCTTAATATTTAGTTTATAATAATTCAGGGAAAGTTCACATATTACTTTCGAACTTTTTCAGAAATTAATTTGTATTATTTAAATCACATGTTTACAATTTACAATTACTAATGACTTTTGTTTAATTTTAATTAAAAATTTGTCAATTAGTAAATAAAATGCGATTAAAGACTTTTGGTTTGCATATTTTTATAAATTTATTTTTAAATACTTATATAAATTTTTAATTAAACAATAATTAATACATAGAAGAATTAAAGAATTAGAGAATAAATGATTATTTAAAAATTGTTTTGTATATAATTTAAATTGACTTTTCATTTAATTCTACTCTTAATCCTTGTATTGTTTGTATAACTTATAAATTACTGAATCCAATGCACCAATAAATTCACATCAAATTAATTAATAAAATCATAATTTAATTATTAATAATTTGAATAAAAATATGAATTCAAAATGATTTTCAAATTCAATTCATAATCTTAAGTGAAAATGAATTAATATTTGTGACACATTATTACGGGTACTAAAAGTAAAGCTTTTATTAAAACATATAATTTAAAGAATTTCAATACGTGGCCATAAAGTGGATGCATATAATTAGTGAAATGTAATCTAAACAAGTTAGTTGTCTACATGTGTATATGTTAAGCATTGGTCGACATTCATATCAATACAATTTACTTGTATTAATAGTATGTTTAGTCATATATTTCTTTCAATTAATGGCAAAATGAGTCTAAAAATAGTTGATATGATTATACAGTGTATGCGAAATGAATGATGAAATAAAAAGCAATCATTAATATCATGATAGTTTGAATAGACATCAATTCACCTCATATTACATCTCATATCACTTGCAAAGTGTAATTGAAGTGAATTGAATGGTATGAGTGGTGAGGAGTAGTTGTGGTCATCACCGGTAAGAAGTGGTCACAACTCATATCCAGTATTGAATGAACAGTAGGTGTAGTGTAGAGGAGATGGCAGTGAAGTGTGAATCCAGTGATTCAGTGATTAACACATAAACTGTAAACCGATTCACACTTTCACTCACTTTCGCCACAAAAACACATTTCATTACAAAAGTATTGAAAACATTGAAAGCATTTCAAAATGACTTCACAATCAGATTTTGATTTAATCGACTTCTCAGACCATCTGATCCAAGAGTCACCACAAGAACCCATCGAACAGGGCTTCAGATATCCCAAAACGAGTCACAACTTCAAGATTAACAGACAATCCAACGAAGAGGCCATATGTGGACCAAAGGAAGACAATCACGCGATGGATACGTCAGAAGATAAGAGTTTGATCCGCGAAGACATCGTATATGACAGGGATGGTTATCCCGTATATCCGGATCCGTTGGAAGTGGTGATGAAGAATTACCCCAATCTGTGTCTTATGCCTCGACTCCGACCCCCGAAGACTCCCAATCCTGTGGACATTCCCAGCACTCCATTGCTATACGCGTCCGGATATCGTCTAAGAAGACCCAAACCTCTGGAACCACTCGTCGACGACTTACTTCTCAAATAGATTTCTCATTTAATCGTCTCTTTCTTTCCTTTTAATTTTGATTATAATTACAATTACTTTAAATGATCGCTATTTTCAAGATAATTGTTTTGTTGTATTGATTGCAATGATTAGTGCATTGCTTTCATTGCCATCAATACAGGGATTAACTAAAACTATTGAATAGTTATCTAACAAATCAATATTTTTTATAAGGTTTTCTAGAAATTAAATATTTATTGTATTAATAATGTTATAATAAGGACTTCGGAGGGGTTTTATTGAATTTTATATGTTTCTCAATTTTGGTGTTTTTTAAGATAAATGGATGTATTAATTAGTGCCAAAAATGTGTACCTTGCACAATTTGAATTGTTTTTTTATCCCTCTTTAGTCCTTATTTTGTTTATAAAAACCTAATTGAATAAAAAATTGATTATAAATTGAGTGAATGTAGTATTTTATGTAATGATATATTGATGGCCACAAACATTGGCTTAATTTAATGGATCGATATTTGATGGAAGAGAGGGCACAAAGAGTTAGCGAAGAGTGGATTAATGAAGCGATTAGGACTTGTATTCAATGCTATCAATGCTTTCAATGCATTCATTTAATTGTATTTCTCTTATACTTTATTTCTTAACTGTCTATGAAATGTTGAAACGCTTCAAATGTTCATTAAATTGTTCATCAAATTACACAAAACACTAATTTTTGTAAGTATTTGTGATTTCAGATTACAACCAATCAATTAAAAGATGTTTACATGATGTCCATTGTCTTCATATGAAATGTTATTAATCAATGAATTTATATTCAAATAACAATAACTTAAATTTTATTATCGGATTATTATAAGAGGTATGCATTACATTAAAATAATTTTTATACTTTGATTTATTTCTGACAATTAATTATAAAATAGTAGGAAATAAGTTATAAAATGTAATCTAACCAAAGAATCCATACTTAAAATAGATGTGAATGCAATCCAAACAGAAATTTATAACAAAATATGAATTTAATATATCTTTAATATATTGAACATTAATCTCAAATCATGTGAAACATCAATAATATATCGATTGAAGTGAAGTAGCAATAAATCATTGAGCGGTTCCAGTATTAGCGAGAGTTGCGTTGAGAGCAGCCTTAGCCGCCTCTATCTTCTTCTCGGCCGCATTGGCCGCAGCTGTGGATCGACTGAAGTCGGCCACAATCAAGAAGTATGAGGCCACCGCAGCGATGGTCTACACAGCAAACATATGCACATTTACAAATCAATGCATCCAATTCTCTATATAATTGCTTACATTTGAAATACTGGCGTTTGTTATAACAAACAGATCGAGACATGAATAGCCAATAGTGGGTCCTCTCACCCGATGCAAGAATGTCGACATCTGATCCGAAACAACAACCGTTTGGTTATAATTAAGAATGTGATCAATAAATAAACTTAAAATCTCAACATTACATTAACTTCCAGATCAATGGGCAGTTGAAGCAGAGATAATGTATGCAACGCTGTGTAAGGGCTGTGAGCCTAACGTACGGTATAGAAAATGGGAAGGATTTGAAAAATGATATGCAATTATAGGTGTATTGATTGCAATGAATATACTTCTGCGGACACGTCGGCCGCTGACAGCGATATAAATCCGAGGAAAAGCAAAGTGTGTAGGAATACAGTCCACGTGACGATCGCCAGAAGATCATCAAATTCAGCGAAGAATAGATTGTAGAGCGCATAGCAATTGCATGGGATGTGACACATGTAGTTGAAGAATATGAACGATTGCCAGAAGTTGTTGGACTCGTCCACCAATTCGCAGATCTCGTTGTGTTCGTAGTATAGAGTGGAGAGAGCGTTGTTTTTGCTGCCCAACGGTCCCGGATCTGATTCGGCTAAGGCTTCGATGTCTTTGCACACCTGTTTGAAGCGATTGCTAAGAATAAGACATATGAGGTTGAAGTACGTCATGGTAAACATGTTGATCCCCGACATGTAGAACACCCATAGAGTCTGAATACCGATCCACGGGATGAAGAGCCGGAAAGACGACATTTCCATGTTTTCCCAGGCAGTCATCACATACAGAGCGCCCACTAAACCGGTCGACGCAATGACTATCAGATTATTGATAACTATTGTAATTCTGGTTCTTTTCTCGTGACTATTGGTGTCATATTTGGCGGTTCGGGCGCTATTGGACTGAAGCTGTTTCACTGACACAAAGGGCACGAGCCAAGCCAACTGTCCATTGGGAATGGGATGGAGTGAAAGAGATAATTGATTGGCTGGTGATTAGGATAATTGAAAGCAAGACATACTTCCTGTTCATTTCTAACGAAAATGGTTGCAGTGATAGCGCTCTGGAGGGCGTAATAAAAGGTCGGCATTAAGTAATACATGCGATAGTCATTCCAGAAGCCGGAGATATCGCCTAACATTAGCTGAATCTCTCGGTCGCCGATAAACATCAAAACAAACGATCGGATGGCGAAGAACCATAAAATGGCACAAATTAGTTGACAATAAAGCCTTTTCAGGTTCGCTGAAGTTCTGTCCTGTTTTATGGGCCCATATCTCTGTCCAAAGTCCAGTCCCGTCGATATAAGCCTTTAAAAGCAACAATTTATGGCAACATTTGCATAATTGAAAGTTTTTTGTTATATTTAACAAAGGATTAGAGAATTACCCAAATATTTTGAAATAGAAATCATACGAAACTTTGGGCCCGTTTTCATAGCTAACAGTATTAGCCGCCGGAGGGTTAAAATTCTTACGGTTTTCCATTTGGTGTTGCATTTTATCGTTTAAATTGTATTAAACTCTCAAATGCTTTGCTTTTCAAACAAATAAGACGCAAATTTGGTCTCAATTGACGACAATATTGAGTAAACTTTAATATAAACGCAAAAAGTCGTCAAAAAATAATTTTCATAAAAATATATTGCATTTCGTGACAAAACTAATGACGATTTTAAGAAAAACAGTCTTAATTTGCGTGCAATGAGTGTCTACTTCTATGTAATGATCCGCTTCTCAAAGTCAAACTTATTTTGAATTAAAATTTATCGATTATTTAATTTGAAATTTCT